AAAGATGAACTGACACCAGGGACTCAAGTAGAAAGTGGGTGTCGTGAGAATGATGAAGTCAACATATGTACTAAAGTGCTGGACACAGATGACGTATGTACAGATTGTGATGAGTTGTATGAGCCCCTAATAAAATGATTATTTATTTTAAAAAGCTCGTGGAAAAATTCCACTCTTTGCACGCCGTTTCCCCATGAATTTTTGGAGGCTGCTCGTGTTTGTTGAGCCTTTCAGCATCACCTGACTTAAAACATCAGTGTGCTTCTTCTTTCCCATCTTCCCTTTTCTGCATTTGAATCCCTCCTCCTGGGTTGTGCCCTACTGATTCTTTCTGGAATGTCTCTTGTATATTTCAATAACAGCTATACACTATCCAAGTTAACATAGGATCAAGTGAGACATAAGAGAACATGGTAGCTTTGGCCCATAATCTTGGACCCTTATGCCATATTGATTTCTTATTAACTGAATTAGTCATCTTTTTTTTTCTATTAATTTTCTCCCACGGGAACAGAAACTGGCTAGACACCTCGTAGGCAAATTTCACAATGACAATTATATATGTATGCAAAATGTCCCTTTCTGTGTGATAATTTAGCAGTGGTGATAGTGGACTTTGGATTGGTATAAATTTCCCCGTATTCGAAATTGACCGTGTGCTATTCCATCATGAATGGAAGAACTTGAGACCCTTTTAATGTTAAGAGACACCCCTTACCTCCAGCCCCCATAATCCTAGTTCTCCTTGACACCATTCATTAATATTTACCCAGCATGAGGCGTATCATAAGACCAAGCTACTTGGTCTAGGACAGGACCGGAGACAATACTGCCCTCATTAGTGATGGAAGCAGTTGTGCTAACTACTCAAGAGCATCACTTCATGAGTCTGTCAAAACTACAAGGACTCTGCTTTTGTTTTCGCTTTAGCCTGGACCTTATCTGCTGGACAGACCTGGAGCAGTTCCGGAGAATAGATTTTAGAGATCGGAACCAAAGAGAGGCAAAAGCTATAGATATCAAAAACAAATACCTAAATAGAAAATATTTCTTTGGACCCAACAGCCCAGCTTCTGTATACCAACAGGACCAGGTACCAAAACGTGGTTTCTATAGTGACATATGGAAATAAGTTCTTCTAGTTATCTTTGCCACCAACCTTAAGACTATAAATAAATGTCAGATTAGTAGTCAGTAGTGGGTTTGATACTCTTATAAAGGATGACTGAATTTTTATGGTTTTGGAATATGAAAGAGTAAGTATTACTTATTTGGTTTGAAGTTTGTTAATGCTGCATTGGTGCTTTAAAGATTCAATTATAGCCCACGTGTGTCCTTTTTTAAAATTGATTATTTGAAAGGATGTCTATCCTAATGGCCTACGTTTGTAAAATACACATTTCAAATGAATTATGAATCCAATTAAAGAAAAACTCAACAGTCTTCATGAGTGTACCAATTTTAAAAAGACAACTAGATTTTTGGTAGGGAGGGGAGGAATAAAGAAAAGTCTTTGGGAAGAAGGAGGAGGAGAGATTCTAAAATGAAGCAACCTTGACCCAAATGCCTGCCCTTAGTTCCCTAAGATACAAATCTGGGACCCATTAACAAAAGGGGTTGATATCCCAATAAGCACAAGTAAGAAATGAACACATGGGAAGCATTTGTTTTCTGTTTGGCTTGTGCTATATTACGTGAGGTTTCGTGGGATCCGACGCTACTGAGTGAATGCAGCACAGCACAACGCTGAGAACTTCAAATTCTGCGAAAAGTTAGTCCGCCCGCAGCCAATGGTGGCGCTAGCTACAGACGACCTTCCCTGAGAACTCGTACTCCGCATCTTCGTCTTTCCTTTCATCTTTGCTTACTTTATGTCTGAGGGTCCCTTGATCACAGTAGGTGTTAGGCACATCGGGGAGCCCTAATTTCAGTTACAGAGCCACAGCTCACTCGCGAGGTAATCTGTTTTCTTTTTCTACAGAGACAATATTATCACTCATATAATTCGACCTATGCTATTAATCAAAGGATGTTAATAAGGCATTTCTATTTTTTATTAAAAAATAATATGTATGTTAAAAAAAACGCAACCCTCATGGACATTGAGTCAATTCCAACTCATAACGACCCTACAGGGCAGGGTAGAGCTGCTTCTGTGGGTTTTTGAGACTGTAACTCTTTATGGGAGTCGAAAGCCTCATCATTAATCATAATATATTATCAATGATATTATTTGATGAGCATATTCTCCGAGTCAAGATTGTTTCTTGGCTCATTCATACCTGCCTCATTTTCCCATTCACAACAGAAAATCCTTTCCTCAATGGGCCAGTCTGAGTAGACTCATAGCTTCCCAGACTGGTAGACCTAGAAGAGAGCTTAGCGAACACAGAGACCCGGGCACTCATTTGACAGCTGCTACTGAGGCTGTGGAGCACAGACGCCACCGTTTGTGTAGAATGTCAGCAGCCAGTCTAATCACACCATGACCTCCTCAATCACAAATCCCTGATCTTAGGGGAACACACAACACAGCCAGGAGACTCTACCCAGTTCAACAATCATGGCACTTGCTGGGTAAGCAGCAAATGATCTGGGGGTGAAATTCGAATTTCTTTACCAAAGCAGATGCCTGTAGTTTGTTTCGTTGCCATCTTCTTAGATAATGCGCCTGAGTGGTGGCTGGGGAAAGATTCTCCACGAGCAGCTTGATTCGCCTGTCCTAGTTGAAATTCAGAAGCACGTCCTCAATCGGCTAGAAAATGTGTGGTTGCCAATGTTCCTTGCAAGTGAGCAGTTTGCAGCTCGTCAAAAGATAAAGGTACACAAGTTAATCTAATCTTTGGATCCTGGTCCGCAGTATCTCCCAACTGCATACCTGTTGGCCTAACTGTTGCACTTCGGTGGCATAGTGGTGAAGAACATGGGTTCAGACTCCCCCAGTTCTCATCCCAGCACTGCTACACATGAATCATATGTACAGCCCAAGGCCCTGTCACTCAGTTTCTTCATTTGAAAAATGGCACCTATCAGTCATTTCTTCTTAAGGTTATATGGGTGCAATATGAAGTGAAATGATGTATGCATAATCCTTAGGTGGATGCCCAGTACAGCATAAAGACTCAAGTGTTATCTCTTAGATGGTTATTATTATTAGCATTATTTTTTTCTAAGTCCTAACACAAGTGGACCATGAAATCCAAGGATATTTATGTGGGGGAATAGTTGAGTGACTCATGACAATTTCACACTCTGAAAAATGGTAGATTTCAATATTAAAAAAGATCATATAAATGAGACTTGAATATAAAAATTATTTTTCCACTTGTATTGATATATTTTTATTGATTGAATCAATAAAGGTGAATTGCAATATATGGATAATTTTCCCATTTTATATGCTTAGCATTCTAGATCTGTCTTCGGTCTACCTATCTATCTATGTAGATACTTGAAAAAGATCTAGAAAGACCTCCCTTCTTGGAGTTTGTGTGGGGAACAGATTTGAAGACTTTTACTTGCTAAGGGGAATTATCGTTGTTGCTTGTTTGGTTCTTTTTTATGTAATAGAAAGCATGCAGTATGTGTGACAATTAAAATATCATTTCACACCTAAAAAGAGGCAAGTGTGACATTTACAAAGATAGCCCAGTGAGCAGAGAGCATGTCATCTTGGACTTTAGTATGCAAAGCTGTGTTCTATTAGCATTGCCCGAGAGACACCTAAAAAAGCTACCCTCTATATTTAAATTATCAAACTCAAGGACACTCATGTTTTTGGCAGTATCTTTAGTCACAGTCTTCTGAGAAACGTAGCTTACAGAAAACGCACCACAGCTGAGAACCCAGAATTTATAGTACGGAGAAATCAAGTTGACTTTTTTAAGGCCCGAAGTCCCTGTAAATAAGCTTTGGGACCACTCACGTTTCCTCATCCCTTTCCTCATTTCTCTGTTCAAGGCCAAACCAAGGGCATTTGCCTCACTGGTACTGTTGACCACATCTTCTCACTGAGCTTCCCACAGCAGTGTTATGGTAACCTACAATCGTTGGTTTCCTTAGCATTCTCTGGGTTGTCAGCAATGTAAACGGATTCTGGCAACTTTGAGCCAAGGACAAAAGGGAACAGTAGAATTTTTTATAAAATGATGCTGGGGCATTTCACGGACTCGGGAAGAAGTCACACCCAAGTTGTAGGAAGAGCAGGGGTCATGGTCGACTAGGCCACCCAGCAGAAAGACGTCTCGATTCTTCTCTCCAGACTTTGGCCACCAGAAGACGTAGCCCCTGTGGTTCTAGTTCATGTCTCTCTAGATCAACTCTTGGATTATGTTTGTTTTTTTTGCCACAGGGCGGTAGACACAGAGTCTAGACTTGACAGAAGTTGTGCCCAAGAAGGGACGATGTGATGAAGGGCCAACCGATAGTAAGCCTCCCAAAGTATCTATTGTATTCCTCCAGTGTTAATAACTTTTTGTACTCTCCTAAAATAGAGAGATGATGTGGGGGAGGCAAAAAGGGCACAAAAACCTGAGAAGTCCTAAGTCTGTCGTCAGCCTCGGTTTTCATGTGTCCCCAAATGAAATGCACATCTCCATTTGGGCAGTACTGTCGGGTAGGATGAGCTCTGTTTTGCAGATGAGGGATTGAACTTGCCCGAGGATCTGAATACAGGACTTTCATTTCGAAGTCTGAGCCTTTCTTTCAATGGTGCTGTTTGTTATCCAAGCTGAGCCCTGTGCTTTACTTTCTGAGTGATTCCATTAGTAAACGATTTCCTAAGTGTACACATCTTGAGTAAGTGCCATAAAATCATTGGTTTTGTTTCTAGGTACGGATGAAAGATATAGCCGAGGAGCTCCTACTACAGAAACATGAGAGGAAGCTTGGAGTCTGGAAGGCAAGTTGTATTTGCAATACTCTTCCTCTTAGACACTTCACTCTGCCCGCAAGTAGCTTTTCCTTTCCTTGCTTGTTCCACCACCTTCATTGTCAACACTGCCTCCTTAGCCACTGTCTTGACTTCTGACGTCTCTAGAAACCGTTCTTAATTGACTGGTAGCATTTGGAGGCCAGCATGGCTTTACCAGAGCCCTGTTCTTTTTTTAACCCCAGAGGGATGATTAACAATGTTTTCCTTTTAAAAAAAAATCATTTTATTGGGGACTCGTACAACTCTTATCACAATCCATCCATCCATCCATGTGTCAAGCATATTTGTACATTTGTTGCCATCATCATTCTCAAAACATTTGCCTTCTACTTGAGCCCTTAGTATCACCTCATTTTCCCCTCCCTCACAAACCCTTGATAATTTATACATTATTATTATTTTGTCATATCCTACACTGTCCGATGTCTCCCTTCACCCACTTTTCTGTTGTCCATCCC